AAAAATCAGGGAATATAAATCCATACAAAACACCCAATAAGTTTTTTCAGCGAAAATTAATTCCAGCTAAAATAAAGTATTTCACAGTATTTGATAATCAGCTTGCAAAGGTCCTGATTTCAGTTACTAGTATTCGAGCAAGAGTAATCACTCTCTTTAGGGGAAATCTATTTGAAATTTGGGGAGGTGCTGGAGGATTTTTGCTAGAAAATTCAATTTGTGCTGAAATCAAGACGAAAGAAACTCACAAGCTCAAAAATTGAAAACTTTTATTGGGGGGGAAAAAAAACATGTTCAGGCATCACTGCTACAATAGTGCGAAAAAAAAATTTGCAATTGACAAATTTGTTCCAGTCCCCACCCCAGTTTTTCTCTTGTGTTGCCTTTAACCTATTCACCACCAGTTCCTTCTTTTCATCACAAATTCACAAAGTACCGTAAAATCTGTATTAGAAGTCGCATCCCTAATAGAAGTCGCACTCAATCTTTTTGTACAATTGAGAACCAAATATTCATCATTTCTCATATGTCTAGATGCTCTAATAGAAGCCACATCCCCTCTGTTGCATTGTACCATTTTAATAGAAGCTGCGGCTTTTAATACAGATTTTACAGTAGGCTCAGTTATAGTCTGCACTTTCTTTCAGAAGAGTGGAATAAAAATAGCCAATTTTTTTGTGTAAAAACTGAAAATTTGCTAGAATTTTGTCTTTTGGCTTCAAAATTAGGATTCATTTCCAGAAAAATATAAGAATATAAGGAAAAAGTACACAAAAATTCGAGAAAGAAAGTCTTTTGGTAAAAGGGTTAAAATGTAACTTCCACTGTTTATCTGAATTAATTCATCTCACCTCATTCTGCTTACATATTTCATTTTTCATGCAATCATAACACAGTGGAAGAACGAGGTACATTTACTGTTCTTTTGTTTTGTTTTCCAACTGACTCATCATCCCAAATAACATGAACTAATGCTCTTACTTGAGTTACTTGAGTTCGTGTGTAAAATACAAGCACAACAAATGCACAAGTATTACTTTACTTCTTACCCCTTACCATTGTTGTCACGGCGCATCTCATTTAATATGATCAAAATGCACCTGCGTAAAATACGCAACCACAATTAATGTGGTGCTTTATATAAACATGTGCACTATTCACGATTATATTATAGCATTATCAATACCAGTAGATTTTATGACGTCATTGCAGCAGATTATTCGCGATAATGTATCGTAATATTGAGCTTCAAGGCCCTGTGCCATGGATATAAATAGAATGTTGTTTTCGAAAACAAATAAAGGAGAAACTATTGAGAAAAAAGAGGAATTGTTGGATAACAACCATTTAATACTAAAATAGATATCAAATAAAACGGTCTATTGGGTATAACAGCGGATTTCAATATTGAAATCAGACAATTTTGTGAGGCCACCATCGTCTGCTCTGTACGCTAAAACACGTTCGGTAGAAGCGTTCCATCTAGTACGTGCACTTCTAGATTCTGCGACTGATGTCGCTGTTCTGGTACCCTCCCGACTAGTTCGCCTTATTGTGTTGATGAAGTGAGGGTGATTTATTCAAGCAATTGCGATAAACAAAGTTGAGGTATGTCTACGCGTGCAGAGAAATGAATTTGTTCTGTTTTTGTGGTGAGTAGTACTACACAATTTGCGAAACGAGATCGACGAAAGATCGGCGTGACTTCCTCGACGTTGACTCCTGGTAAATATAACAGTCCTGGCACAGTTTTCATAAATAAACGAAGTATGCATGTTCTCAGGTGTGTCTGTTTATTTATACAGTGAAATTAAAATCACTGTTGGTTTTCCTAGCTTTCCGGTCATGTTTGCTCGCTCGCTATGCCTGTAAGTTTTGTTTGCCTTCAAAATATTCGTCAAAACACCAGCCTCTTGTAGAATTTGAAAATAGCTATTTCACAGACGGAGTAATTGCCAAAAACATCTACCTTGATGTTTTGAAAACACTCGTGGGATGGGGCAATGATGCGACTACGTACATGTACCCCGAGTGTGAGCCCCTACACATCGTGGATCCAGCCGGTCAACTGCGGCGATCTAGCATAGCGTTGTGCAAGCCAGGAGTACAAGACCGCGGTGGATACTGATACAGTGTACCAATCACGGTGTGCCGTTCGCTTGGGGCGACCACTGCAATGCTACTCCACACATCAGTCACTCATTCACTCGCAATGTAGATGAGTTCAATACAATAATATTTGATGGATTAAAACTAGTTTCTTTCTTAGTTTGCCATATGAGATTGTGGAAACAATTTTCAGAAAGACATTTGAAATTATTGAGATTCAAGGGCCAATGAAACCGCTCCGTCGACTGTGGATTTTTCTCCAAATTTTCCGCTTTTTAGTGACAGCTAATCCACTGGTATTGTCAAGGCTACAAAATAATAACAATAATGAACTCCCCGCCAACCCATAATGGACTCAAGCACACTTTGTGCTTCATATATGTACTCGGTTCACGTCTCGCACAAAGTGAGCTTTTGCCCATTATGGGTTGGTGGATCGTTCATTATTGTTTAATTAATGCAGGGGAGTCGTCACCTATGCATGCGTCAGGTGGTCATAGCGTGTCATTGTTTACAAACAAGCATTTTCCCATGAACCTTTGCGTTTTTAGCGTGTGTTGTTCTCGTTGCTTTGGACTCAATTCCCACGCGTGCGCAGGTGACATCCCTCCTGCTTTAAATACAAAATATCGCTGACCTCTATTGTACGGTTAACGTCATGATATTGTTGTTTTATGCTAGTTTATACACAGAGAAATACAAATAGTAAACATTACGTCATGTGACTTTTGGGGGGGGTGGACGAAAAAACACTCAAACTCGAACTAAAATAGTGATAGACGATGAATTTATAACAGTTGCGGCATCAAAATAATTGTTTAAAGGGCTTTGTTCAGAAAGTAAACACCTTTGGCATTCACAACAAATCACTGAAAATCACAACAAAGTAACGCCATTGAGAATGAAAATGTTTTTATCGTCTACTACAGTGTCATCATTTAATCGCTATCACGTGTTGTACCACGTCCTATGAAACGTAAATATGGAATTACCGCATATTTAATGACTTGACAGATATACAATAAAAAGCACGTCGAATTATTTTTCAGCACCTCCACCACCAGGGGGCGCTATCAATGAAGTATCTGTGCGGGGCCGTGACATGAAATACTACGTACCAGACGTTTACTACAGCAAGAACATCAGCCCGTACTCACCGAAAGAAAAACTGGAACTAGATTGGATGTAAGTTATGATGCCTTTAATATGACCCTAAAGGTCACACATCCTGGTACTTTTGGGGGGCAGTTATAATTTTTCAATCACTCGACTCAAAAAAAAGCATGTATGTATTCTATGAACAACTACACTATTTATTTTTTATCTATGAGCTCAAAATGAAGTTTGATATTACTGTAAAATACTTTATTTTCGCTTGGAATTAATTTTTCGTTGAAGGAAAGATTCAGTGAAAATAAAATCCAGTGAATATATTTTTTTTTCCTGTATTTTACATTCAACTTGTCAAAAATCAGTGAAAATAAATTCCATATAAAACAGTCAAAAAGTCTTTTCAGCGAATATTAATTCCAGCTAAAATAAAGTATTTTATTTCACAACTGGATGACATAAAAAAAATGAATAGAGAAATAACAGAGTTATTAATTATGACAAAATTTGTATATCTTACTTTCAGTTATGGTTACCGTGGCAATGACTGCAGATGTAACATATATGTTTTATCTAGCGGTGAAGTTGTTTATTTTGTGGCTACGTTTGTTGTTATTTACAATGTTCAGACACGCAAACAACGTTACTACAAAGAACACACTGCTGATATAAGAAGGTAGGTATAAATAACAAACAAATAAACAATGATGTCACAAAGAACAGTAAATTAATCAGTTTAGTTCTCAATGAACATAGTCTGAAACTGGGACTTATGTTTTGGGTTCGTCTGTCTGTCTGTCTGTCTGTCTGTCTGTCTGTCTGTCTGTCTGTCTGCATGCTTGTGTCAGTGTGTGCATCCGTACGACATCATTTCTCTTTTTCCAAGAAAATTGTTTTCACTCATTGTGTATTATATTATCAGCTGAATATTCTCCCAACAACAACAAAAAAAAAGACAGGGACTTTCAAAGAAGCAAGGGGCGTCCCCAGAGGTTGAATGGAGGTCACAAGGTCAAATTGAGGTTACAGGGTCAAATTGAGGTCACAGGGTCAACCAGAGAACATATTTAGCTGTACTGAACTAACATATCTATTTATTTTCCAGTATTGCTATACATCCTAACAAGGTTACCTTGGCAACGGGACAGTCAGCTCAGGATAAAGTTGATGTGAGTATACTATGAAGTTATTACGAAGATACCGCAAATTATGCACAATGACAGTACAGCCAAGGTTGAAGCGACCACATACTGTCTAAGTGCATACTTTGCAGTATCCTCGTAATAACCTTATTATTGTACATCTTTTCCTCCCAGGAATACATCACGGGAATGCCGAAATCCTACAAGTTTAGAACAGAATCAGTGAACTTCTTTGTGTGTGGTCTGATCAAACTTCGCGCTTGGGGCAGCCATCTTTGTTTTTATTATTAGAGGATGCGAATGCGCGTAATCGTTCCATATTTGGATTTCGCATTTCCTAATATGGTAGGATGAAAATGTAATTGCGTTATGGTGACAGATGCATAATAACATATAACATTCTCGAAAGAAAATTAGTTTGCAAGAACATTATACCAGAAATTATAAAAGGATGGCTTTTAAACACTAGCTGTTGTTGCCTTGACAACGAAGTTTCTCAAGGAAGCGCATACTCATGAATGAAAATGCCAAGAATTAGTTCATTTTGCTATTACATGTGTAATTGTAATTTAATATTCTATAAAATTTACCAAAATTTTCACTTACAATTAAAAAAAAATAAAACCTCAACTTTTGCCAACTTTCTGCATAAATTATGGTAATACATAATAATATACAAAATGGCAGGAAAAGTTATTGTGTGAAATGGACACTACATGTAGTTGCCATTGGCAACATCTTGACAGTTCTATTTACATCTCACTCTACAACATTTTTGTTTTTTGTAATTCATGATCACATCATTTTTTCCCATCAAATTAAAAAAAAAAAATGTTTCCATTTTGAACTAACACATGATTTCACATTATCAACAAGTCGTGATCTGAATATTTGAAAAAAAAAATGAAAAAAAATTGTTCATTTTGAGATAATTAGACATAATTGCTCATAACTAACAATTTATGATTATTTTAAAAAATGGCAAAAATATTAACTTTAAATTTATACTGGGTGACAAACGACGACTTCCATCGTTACCTCACTCTACATCTCCGTTGATTTCAGGCGCATATCCGTATATGGCAATCTGACACGCTACAAACGATACAAATCTTAGGAGTAGGTTTAATACAGAATGCCGTCATGTGTCTTGCGTTCTCACAATTTCAGGTAAGATTGAAAAATTAAACTACCGTAGAATACTTTATTTTCGCTTGGAATTTAATTTTGCTATTTTCGCTGAAGGGATGCTTCAGTGAAAATAAAATCCAGCAAATATATATTTTTTTCCTGTCTTACATTCAAATCATCAAAAATCAGTGAAAATAGATTCCATACAAAACACCCAAAAAGCTTTTTCAGCAAAAATTAATTCCAGCTAAAATAATGTATTTCACAGTAGTGTGGATTTGTGACAAGGCATGTTTTTAGTATAGAATCTTTCCAGAAAAACTACAAAAGATTTGAAGAAAAAAAAAACCAGCATGCATCAATGTTCGCTGTGTGCCACCATGTATCAACAGTTGATTTGTCTTTCATTAGTGACT